ACGTGTCCTCCTATCTTCGTGTCTTTTAAGTCTCGAAAATCAATTTTCATTCATGTGGGGGATTGTTGAAAAAATGTGTTAAAATTGCATTAAATGGTCATTTTGGGGCAATTATTTGAGTGGGGTCCACTTCCGATTTGGGTCGGGTCAAAGTGGTTTCGGATTGTCCTTGTTAAGGGCTACAATTCGATATGTGGTACACTCAAAACGGATAACGGGTGAATGAGAAATTGATTCTCGAAGTTCACTCGTTGAAATGGATTTCTAGTGTGTTTTATCCCACACCGAAAAACTCAAGGGATTTTCACCCCGTTATAAAGGGAAGCCTCTCTTAAGGAGTTAAGATTCCTAAAGGGAAAGGCTCTCTCTTACGCGCAGGGGGGGTGCCGATCAAATCCCGAAACGGAGAAGAAAAACCGCGACTCGTGTGCGTGGGCGACCTGCGGACACGAATGTCGTCCGAAAACTTATCATTCAAAGATACGGTCTAATTTTTGTTTCTTCCCGTAACGTTTTATTTTTCCCAGTGACAGAAGGGGTGGAGTTCTGTCCGGAACAGAAACCCTCGAGGTCTTCTGTTCGCAACAGAGACCCTCGAGGCCTTCTGTTCGCAACAGAGACCCTCGAGGTCTTCTGTTCGCAACAGAGACCCTCAAGGCCTTCTGTTCGCAACACAAGGTCTTATGGTCCGTTACAACAATTAATGCCCAACGTTCTTCTCTTTTAATGTTGCGTTAAATGGACAGTTTATGGACGATTCAATGCCCAACGGACTGGTCATTGATGTCCAACGTTCAGGTCCATTAACACCCCATTTAACACACAACAAATCCTCCTATAAATAGCTGACAGGTGCTTTGCAACAAACACACGATTTGACACAACGTACAATACATTCCTCACGAATTTCTTGAACTAAAAAACACCTACAGCTACTCTGCAAATTCCTTCTGTGTTCATACTTGGTTCTCGTTCGCTGGAACTCTTGTTTGTGTGCTCAAACATTAGTTCGTAGTCATTGTATCCTGGAAAACGATTGTTGCAACGCTCCTAGCACCGTGGGAGGCAACAAATACGTTTTAAGGAAATCGTGCGTAGCACGAGCTTTGACTAATTCTGCTTCATCTCCTTTCTTGTTTTTCTCTAGTCATTTTATTTAATTAATTTATTTTAATTAATTTCCTTTATTTTCCGAAACACACCCAACAATAAAGTTATATTATATAAAGTTTTTATAGTATTATGCATCACGCACTATAATGTTGATTGGTTATTAAGCCAAAATTACAAAGTTGAATATGACTAAAAAAGGCATTTTCAACAACAAAATCAATGCGCCACAATGGCTACTAACATTTGAAGTTGTTAATATGAATGCTTTGGGATCAACGCATTTTAGCTCGCACTAACTTATGTCAAAATGATTTCTTTTAGTAAAATGTTTTGCTAGTAATTGACCTTGCGATGCGCGAATGATTTTGCCATTTTTTCATTCAAAGGTTTATATAAAATAATTGAAGGTAAATTATTTATAATGACTAAGTTATAAGGTGACTATAAATTTACACGAGTTGCATTTTTTAGACAAATTGTCTCTCTAAATAGGTAAAATAAGGGACTAAAATATGTGAAAGTGTGTTATGTCATTCTTGATTTATACTTGAATCTAAATTTGTGAAAAAAATGTTCAAATAGGTGCTTCTACTATTTCTAATATGCAAGTATGATCTGGTCTGGTTTGTTTAAATTTGGTTTGGTCTGAGATTGAAATAAGTATAAGTATAAACATCTCAAGTAATAATGTGACTATGCATTTATACGAATTGCATTTTTTACACAAATTGCCCAAATAAATTGGCAAATCATAGGGGTGTGCAAATATGTGAAAGTGTGTTATGGCATTATTAAACAATACTCAAATATGAATTTGTGAGAAAATGTTAGTTGAGTTCGTACATAAAAAGTAATGTTATCATTTAAGCACAATAACTTTCGAAACACATTCAATAGGTAATATTTATAGTAGTTCTTAATTCAAAAATAAGTGCAACTCTAGTGCGATGCTCGGTTGGTGAAATTTAAAGGGTGAAGTTTTACTCAAATTAGAAAGAAAAAAAAATAATTGAAAACCTATTATGCTCACCCGTGTGATGCACGGGATGAAAAATACCTAATTGAAAACCGCAAACCGACCTTAATTTGGTTTGAAATTTCTTGGCGCTCTAGGTAATTTCTTTTTAGATAGCCTGAACAGAAATTACCCGACAAAATCCGAAAATCGGTCGCACTTGTGATCTCTTAATCCATAACCCAACAACCTAATCAATATACCCGAGACAATTGCCTTAAATAATTGGAAACCCCCATTATTTTAAACATACTAAATATAAAAAATGGATTTGATTTGTTGATGATTTTGGAGACTAATATTTGTGTTATTTTGTGTGACTTGTATTTTCGAGCGATAAATATAAATAGACGACATGATGATTTCTCGCTCGACTTTAACCCAAGATATTGAAAACACGACCTGGACCTAATAAAATAGTCCTTGTTATTACTCAATCCTGCCTTTTTATTTGGAAGAAGCTCAATCCGGCCTTTTTATTTCAATAATACTAAAATGAATAAAAAAGACAAAAATGTGACATCTTTTAATTTTTCTCAAAAAAGTGACTAAAAGTCATTTATCTTTTAAATATTTGATTAATATGGTAGTCCATATTTTGCAGCCACTAGCCCCTCTGGCCCGCCGCCGCCGTCACTATCTCAGTGACTCCGGCCGTCACAGTGACTCTGTCGCCAAAGTGACTCCGGCCATCACAGTGACTCCGCCACCATAGTGACTCCGCCGGCCAGTGACTGCCATCGCCCCCGACCAGTGACTGTTGCCGCCACCGTCCAGCCATTGCTATCGCCCGATCAGTGACTGCTGCTCCCCGGGCAGTGACTTCCGCCCCTCGGCCAATAAACTGCCCAACACCACCGTCACCACCACTGTGGGTGCACCACCCCCAACCCCCACCCCGGCCTGTACAGCCCCATCCCCAACCATCGCAACCCCTCCCCCACCTTCCCAGCCTCCTCCCCAACTATCCCAGCCCCCTACGCCGCTGACCCAACCAAGCCATCACTACCCTGCTCCCCTGCGACTACCTTGTTCTCCTCCAGGCCTCTCCGGCCATTTAACACCACCATAGAATCTGGCGTGACCAGTCCTCTCCACCAGCCCTGCCCCAACCAACCCCGCCCCAACCTAGGTCACAGTACCCTTCCCAAGCCTGCTCAGAAAGGAAGCACCTTAGCCCCACCCAACAACGTCGCAACACAGCCTCACCCCATCCACGAATTCAGATCTGAAAATAAGAAGGAAATCCCCCAAATTTGATCTGGAATCACAGTGATTTGCGGTCTAGTAAGGAGAAGGAGAAGAATAAAGGAAGATCGACGAGGCACATCCCTAGCTCGAGGTTCGTCGGTCTTCTTCAGAGAGGCGGACCTACGGAGATGCAGTAGAGGGACAGCGAGGTTTAGGCAGGCAGACCGGCCAAGAGAAGGCGTCATGGCCGTACGAAGAGAAGAGGCGCCTCGATCTTGTGCAGAAATGAAGGAAGCACGCCATGGCCAGTGGTTTATGGTGGCAGAGAGAAGTCTCATGATTGTGCGGGGACAAGGGCGGATTGGGCCTATGGCTAGGGAGGGCCTAGGCCCCATGCTCGATTTTTTATTTTTTTCAACTAGTATAGAGGTTTAAATATTAGGCCCAGTCTCAATTTTTAAAAAATCAGGCCCAATCCAAAAAGCAGTCTGCTTCTTTTCTTCCTTACTGCTTCGGTACTTGGGCGGAACTAGGGTCCATGGATTGCCGCAAAAGTGCAAAACCCCAAAGGCAAAAAACGGCGACTTCGGCCATCTTCAGACTTCAGTCGCTGCCGGACGGCCACTGGACGGCGCACGGTGGCTCAGGCGACAGCTCATCACTCGGAGTCTCGGATGGTCAGTCTGCTTCGGCGAGTTTGGCTAAACCCCAAAGGCTGAGGTGCTGCCTAAGGGCTAAATCCTCAGTGCTTAAGGTATTTCTTTTTTATCTTTTAATTTTATTGTGTTTTTAATTCAAGTTAAAGACTAAATTACAGTTTTGCTTGTTGTGAATTTGATTATTATTTGTAAACTTGTAAATTGTAATCATCATTTATAGTATGAATTTTCTTGTGACTTGTTCTTATTAATTTAATTATTAAGTTAATTAATATTCGTGTAGTAATTAGTCATCCCGTTATTTTCAATAAAGGTAATGAAGAGATACTATAACCCTGTTGAAGAAAAAGCAAATGGAAGTAGCTTTTTCAGCAACCGCTAGTGTTGAAAGAGTATTTTTAGCAATGAATATCGTGAAAGATAGGTTGAGCAACCAGATGAGTGATGACTGACTGAATGATAGACTTATTGTTTATGAAGAAAAAGACATCTTCTTGTAAATTGACAATGATGTCATTATCAAACGATATCAATCGATGAAACCCCGTAGAGAACAGTTGTAAATAATGGTATTTTTGCATTTGACTTTAATGTAAACTCTTGTTCTTATAAATTTTATTTTTGTCTTTAATTTTGTTGCTATAATAAATGTTTTTTTTAATATTTATTTTGAATTAAATTTTGGTCTCACCTAAATCATCAAGCTCACTAGGTGTGGAGATGCATCTTTGAGGAGAGAGATGTGTAGAGAGGAGCGTGAGACACATTTTTGAAATTTGAAAATGTCATAGATGGGCCATTATTTCTATTCTAATTCCTAAAAGTTCAAAGTGGAAATATTGCAAAAACAATATTTCCGTTTGGCCCTTGCAAAAAGGTGCATGGAGAAAACACAATTTCATACGCGCCAGGTAGGGGTCGAACCTACGACCTTCTGCTTAGGAAACAGACGCTCTATCCACTGAGCTACAGGCGCTTCGCTGCTGATGTGCCATGTGAAATTCTACATAATCACAAATTCAATAATGATTTCTTACTTTAAACGTAAGAGGATACTGTGTCTGTCCGCCTCATTTTCAAATTCTCCGACTGACCGAGTCAGTAATGGACGCAACGATCGAGAAATTCAGCAAAACCGCCGCCGCTTTCTGCAACCACCTACAGACGAGCTGCGACGCCCTCACCCAGTCTGTCAGTCGCCGCCCCATCCCTCTAGGTATGACTTCTTCCCAATAAATTTACCTTTTTTCTATTTTAGAAAATGATTGCCCGCATATATGCATTAGACTCTGCATCGACGACGTTCGTCCAATGCCTGAGCTGGAGAGTGTCGTCGGCCAGCAGAAATCTTAACTTGTTGGAATCTATGTCCTTGGGAACGGTGTCGTTTGAAGAGCTGCTTGGCCACTGCAATGAAGTCTACAAGGAGAACCAAAATCAACTACTGTCTCTCCAGGACCATCTCCCCTCCCTGGGTTACACCTCCTCTTGTAAGTAGTGCATACAACGCAAATATATTGCTTTGATTTTTATGAATTCTGAATATTAATGATATGTTTCTCAAATCTGCTCCTATTTGGGGTGCATTAGTTGATATTGACGATGAAGAAGAAGAAGAGGAAAACGAAGGACTATTAGATGGCTTCAGCAGTATTCGCTTCACAAAGAAAATTGAAGACGACCCTTTGTATCTTTTCCATTCCTCTAGAAAGTTTATGCTCTAATGGGTTATCTACCTTGCTTAATGAACTTTGAAGTTCCTTGGCTTTCCCTTAAGGCTTCATTTGGATAGAGTTAATTTAAGTAAAATTTGTGAACTTAAGTAAGCTTGGGTTTATTAAAAATTGGGTGAATTTGGATGTACCACACATATATAAATGTTGTGTTAAGACTCGGGGTTCCATCCTTAAAGGTCAACATGATAGGAGGAGTAACTCACGGCTTAATATAGCATTTCATTAACTCAAACATTTCTAGTGTGGGATTTAACACCCCTCCTCACGAACAGACTCTTCGTCTGAATCGTGCCGGCATTCATTTTTTTTCGTCAATTCGTCATTGTCATTTTTTATAATCGTGTCGATCATTTTTCATGAGGGGGCCCACACCATGTATCGATTTGGCTCTGATACCATGTTAAGACTCGGCATTCCATCCTATAAGGTCAACCTGATAGGAGGAGTAACCCATGACTTAATATAGCACTTCGTTAACTCAAACATTTCTAGTGTGAGATTTAACATGTTGTTTAGCTAATTATTTGGTAAAGTTAAGTGAATGCAGTGAAGGATTTTGAAATATAGAAGTTATGCTAAGTGAACATATTAAAATTACTTGGAAGTAAACATATTAAGATGGGTGTTCTTCAATACTGGGTTATGTGGAGTTTTTGGGTGTTATTTGAGATAAAACCAGATATTGTGAAAATTTTGGTTGTTATTTAAATTGAAAACAAACAAGGTGAACCCAGAATTAAACTTAAAAGAACCTATGCTGAACCTGAAAACTCACCCCATGGATTTTGGAGGTTTATTTTCGTGTCCTTGAAAGGAGACCAACAAGTGATCTTGACAATTGAAATTTAATTTCTTGCTGTCTTGTTTATGATCTTATCTTGTCTTGAAAGATTTATTCAGCTATGATGTATTAGTACATTTCTGGTGAGTGGTCCTTGACCTTGTCAGACTAGACGATACACTGAGCTTACAAAATCTTGGATTTTCAGATGCATGTGTAGCTGCTCTTGCACCTGGAGGTTAGTAGATTAAACTTTCATCAGATGTTTACTATACAAAAGCGATTTTTATCTTTTAGGTATTTGTTTGGACCTCCTGTGAATCATAATCTGCAGCTAATGATGAGGAATCTGTTCAATCATTGAAAAAGATGTTGGATTTTTGCGGATGTCTAAACCTAGTTGCTTTCTGTTAAGATGTTCTCTTTGTGATAGAATATACATTGATGTGCAAATGCTTTAACTTAGATGATATGGACCATGCATCGATTACATTTGAAGACCCTACTTCCTTGATAAGTGTGTCACTAGATGATTATGAGATCCTTCCTAAGCATATGAAGAGTTTATCATCATGGGAGGTAAATGCTTACATTGTATTATGTTTTTTATTATTCATTAGTTGAAGCAGTTAACCAATGGTCTTATTTATTAGTAATCCTATGGAAGAAGTGGGTTATGTCATTTATTATGTCTTATAATTACAAATTCTTCCCTAGGACGGTTGTAATCAAGAGAAAATGCTTAATGGCTAATGCCTTCTTACAGGACCTGGTTGTCGCTGTTGAGAAGATGAATGCATGTCTTAGAAGAAAAAACACTAAACCAAGTGTCATTCAAATGGATGAAGTTGAATCTTTAGGATTGGGTATGAATTTAATATTCATTTCTATTGTTCGTTCCACTTTTCATTGAGTTTTAACGTATATGATCCTACAAGTTCTAAAGTAATTCTGATCGTAAAATGGGTCAATGTGGACATTTCATGGACTATATATAATATTTTGTTGGGAAATTTCCTGAAATATTTGTAAAAAAATGTAAAATTCCAAAGTAAGAGTACTATGAAGTACGTTTTTTCCCTTAACTTACTATAATCTTTTACTGCCATATTTTGGCATTGCCATGCTTTAAATATGGCATTATACTGTAATAATTGGCATTTGGCAGTGTTTTCCAAGACTATCAGTGATTACACTTATTTAGAAAATAAAAAACATAGTGATACTGTTTTGGAGTTCCAAAACGTTTTTACTCCTATTTAGATAAATTTCTTTATTTTTGTTACTTCCATAGGAAGAAAAACTCCAAATTTTGAAGATAAAATGTTTCATTTTTATGGTTTTATCATTGCAGGGCCTAAAGCCAGATCTTACCTGCTGCTACTCATTAAAATGAATAGGCTGGTTGTTGAAACTGCTAGAGGTTCGGTTTCATATAGAATTTTGTAGCCATTATGTAATCTAAACGTAATGGATTAGTTATTTTTCTTATATGTCCTTCATACCTATCCTAAATCTAGTGCAACTGGAATCGATTAGGCCTTTGGAGACTCCATGGTATTTTTTCCTTCTGTACTAATAGGTATATGTGTTTATTGAAGCCGAAGCACTTGAATTTATATAAATATTGGTGGATTTAAAAAAAAGTAAATATTAGTGGATTTTTTGTATAAATATCTGAAACTTCTTGGTAGGAAAAATTCTTAACATTGTTTTGAAAAGGTAATGAGATTCGTCAAGTACTTCTATTTTACTGATTTTTTTACTTGACATATTCTAAAATGATTGAGATTCTGGAGATTTTTTTACCCCATGTCAGTATTTGAGATCCTATTATGCAATATTTCGGATGTAAACTTGGAAAATGAGAGAACATTTTTATCATTCACACTTAAATAAGCGTGACCCCATTTTGAATAGTCTGAGGGAATGATCTGGCAAAGTAAAAAGTCGGTTATTCATGAGGAAATGCAAAAAGATGAAGAAGCGCTGCATGGCAAAGTAAACAGTGTTTACTGCCTGTTACATTCCAAAAGAAAAGATAAAAAACACATCTCTATCCTTCTCATGCTTCCCATCCCCTAAGAAGCGTAGCCCGGGCGACTCGGCTAACTCCTAGTGTAAACGCACCCATACGGAGATCACAGTTGTGAGTTCTGCACATATCCTTCACACCTGTCAATCCTCTGGTCATATACTTGTGAAGCTCTGCATTCACTTTCTCCTCATCCCACATAAACCCTTGAATGTTCTACACAAACGGTTATACAGAATCAAGAACTCAGGACATGCAATCTATTAGTAAATGTAAGTTTAGTTGTGAAACTAATTAATCACCTGAACCCACTCAAAATAGCTCACAGTAACTCCACCTGAATTCGCATAAATGTCTGGCAAAATGACAACCCCTTTATTTGCTAAAATCTGCAGAATACCAAAGACTCAGGTAATATATAGGGCCTAGCACCTAGCTGGAGATACATTCTCTGGTTTATAATCAGGGTATCTGGGTCAATTTGGATGGATGGGCTAGGAAGGGGACATCATTATTTTATAATTGAGTTTATATAAAGATATCAATCGAGTCTTCTAAAGTTTCTGCTCTAAAATCATTCATCCAAAAGACTATAAGTGGAATAAATTATCAGAACAGAACCTGGGGGGCTGGTTTTAACTGAAAACCGAACAGGAACTGCCGAACCGGTACTGGTGAATGATTATTTTATGGTCGGTTTCTCCTAAATAGGTCTGGACCGTTTCGTTAAGGTTAAAAAATCGGGCAGGAAACAGATAAGAATCAGATCCGGAACAGCTGGTTCTACCACCCTGGAATTAGGCAGTCCAGGACAGAATCCAGAACTGACCCCCTATTGCCTTGCTCCTAGGTGGGGATCTCTAAACCAATGTTGATAACCCCTTAATCCTTTACTAACCTCATCTGCTTCTGGATCAGTCGGATGGTTAGCAGCCTCAATAATAAATTTGGCTCTGATGTCTTTTGCATTCTCCCTTCATTCAGATCAGAGTTAAAAAAACATTGGAACATAAGAGAATTGCTTGAAAATTCTGGTCAACCCACGATATGCACATGTCTTGACTTGTGAGAATAACCAACCTGTTAATGACACCTCCAAGAGCAGCTGGAATTAGAACGTCGCAGTCTTCAACCAGTATAGAGTTTGGATCCACTGCATCCCCACCATGAAACCCTTTCACACCATGGTTCTCTTTCACATGGTTCATCAAAGCAGTAATGTCTAACCCTTTCTCATTCTTTATAGCTCCAGTGACATCACTGACCGCTACAACCTTCCCGCCTTCCTCACTTATGAGCTGAGCAGCCCACGAACCAACATTTCCAAATCCCTGCGTGATGAAAAACAGAACTCCATTACTGTCCGTTTGGAACTTAGGCATTACTAGGGGAAAGCATATACAAACATAAATAAAGAAATCTTAATGCAATTTTCGAATAGTACTATTAAAAGGAAACTAACAGAGGAAATTTGAATACATGGTCACTTTATTTATTGTGAAAATACTATGTGTATGGTCATTACACATAGTAGAGTGGAACATCACCATAAACATGATCAGTACAGCTATGAAAGTATCGTCATGGTTACTGAGTAGTAAATGTCGTATTTTTGTCTATCTCTCTTTTAGTCATATAGTTGTCATTATTTTAAACTGGAATATACACAAAACAAAAAATTAATCATATTTCATTTTCTTTTGTGGTATAATGCCAACCATAAAAGTAACTTTTTCAACATATTTTTTTAAAATATTCCGTGATCCAAACAGACCTTTAGTTTTTCAGAGATATCCTTGAAATTAGAGCACCATTACTGATTTATACCTGTATAACGAAGCGCTGCCCCGCAATGCACTTCCCATGCTCTTTAAGTAAAGCTTCTGTTGCAAACAGAACCCCCCTTCCTGTGGCTGCATCTCTGCCTAAAGATCCTCCAAGGTCCTGTTTTCAGCAAAACGCAAGGATAAAATGAATATGTCCCTTTAGTCAATTAGATTAACTTTTTAGGATAAGATCTCGTGTCTTAAGTCACTTACAACTGGTTTTCCGGTAACGGTAGCAGGTGAGTAGCCATGAAACTTTGAGTATTCGTCAAGAATCCAAGCCATCGTCTGGGGACCGGTTCCCATATCAGGGGCAGGTACGTCAATTTGGACTCCAATGAGGTCATGAATTTTCTGAGTAAAAACGCGAGTGAGCCTTTCGAGTTCAGAAACGCTCAGCTCCCCAGGGTTGCACCCTATCCCTCCTTTGGCTCCACCATATGGTATGTTTGCAACTGCTGTTTTCCATGTCATCAGTTGTGCTAATGCATTCACCTCGTCATGATCAACCTACAGTATTCACGACCCTTTTAATTGAGCAGAATATTCATTTCGTGTAAACTCCAAGATTCACGGATGTCATGCCATGCTACACAGACCTAACTAACATTTAAAATAAAATGGATTTTCAAAAAAAAACGTGACTGAAAAAATATGTACTCCGCACAATACAACAGATTCTACAAACACAATAAACATGCGTGTCATGAAGGTTTTGACAGAGCAACAGCTTATGAACTAACGTTTTCGTGCATGTTTGGGATGACTTATAAAGGCTTTTCTAAATGCTTGTACTTTTTTTCAAAAGTTTGTTGAGAAAGTGTTTTTAGCCTTATAAAAGCTAAAATTTGATGATTTCATACTAAAAATGTTATAGTTTCTGTTTATCAATAAAAGCAACATCAAGTTCTCTAAAAAGCACTTTTATACATGTCGCAAAATTCATCTCAAATGGGCTCTAGAAAACAAGCTAAGGTGCACACTATGTGCCCGGTTGCACGGCGACATTTTCGGATTACTCAAGCAGGAGAGATCATTGTGATGATCAAATTACCTCAGGATGGTATCTGATTCCACCTTTCATGGGGCCTCTAGCATTATCATGTTGAACTCGGAATCCGACGAAAGATACCAAGGAGCCATCATCTTTTGGTATTGTACACTCAACCTGATTTTTTTTTATGTTCAAAATCAAACAAATCAAGGAAAAAAGAAACATATATGGAGGGAGAGGGGGGGGGGGGGGGGGGGGAAGCAAAATAAACCTTGACTTCTCGAAATGGGATGAGCAAACTCTTCTCAAGTTTGGAGTCCAAGCCTAGGAGACGAGCTGCAAGTTTAAAGTTTCTATTGGTTGCTGCTAAAGCATTCATGATGATTCCTCAAAAACAATGCTAGAGCTCCGATATGATTCCTCAATTAATGGAGCAAATATGGAAGTAATGGGGCATATATTTATAGCAAAGCTCGTATATATATATTTATATATATAGGCTTTTGTATTAAATTTGTACACTCCTCGAAATTAGGAAGTAGTGTGTACAATATATCCCCTAATTAAAACACTTGTACATGATACTACGTATAATTTTTTCTCTAAAATAAATACATTCAATAGTTGGAACCCGTAACTCTTTTGGTAAGAAATCTTTAATCTTGCCATTTTCAAAAAGTATTAAGATTGACAGAGACTCAAATAGACCTTAGGCAAAAGTAAATTCAAATATATATATATATATATATATATATATATATATACACACACACACACACAGTGGAGGAGTTGGGGGGGGGGGGGGGGGGGAAGCGCCCCCGCTCCGACTAATTTTTTTTACTAGTATTACTTATAATATGTTTCTTGCCCCGGCTTCTTTTTTAATTTTAAAAACAATAAGTACAACTTAAGGTTATTTTAAGATGAAGTGTTAAAATAAATAAAAAAGTATTTTCAGAAAAAGTAAAAAAAAATGAAATATAGAATAAAAGGGGATTAATGAGTCAATGAGACAAATGAGCATCTAGTCTAAGGCTAAGTAAAAAAAAACGGGCATAAGTAAAAAAATGAAAAAAAAAACATTTCTAAAGCCCAAGCCACCTACACAATCCTAAAGCCTAAGCCCAAAAATGAAAAAAATAACAATTCAAAACGTAATCACTAAAGTCTAAAGCCATTAAGTGGGTTAAAAATTCAAAGCTTCATTAACAAAAGACCTAGGCAGTCGGCAGTCCCTTCCCACTCCGCCAAAAAAAATGAATCGAGCAGTTGAGAACGCAGGCAGGCAGCGAACGTGAGAACTGAGAAGCAGCATCGCCCGCTCCCTCTCCGGCTTTACTCCCCAACAGAAATCTACCTTCCTTCTCCAGTTAGTTCTCACTTCTCCCCATTTGTTCTCAGATTCTGCAATTTTCAAGTAAGTTTCTCATCTGCCAATTTATGCCCATATTAATTATTTGCTCTCATCCCTAACGAAAAGTCAGAAATTATTTGTGTGAATCCTCAAATCTCAGTTCTAGATGCAATTTAATGCTATTTGTATAAGGAACATTTTTAATTCATACTTATTTTTGTTATATTTAGGAGTATGAGTTTGGATAAATTTGTAATTAAGACTAAAAGGTCTTTGATTGGAGGTGTTAGTTCTTCAATTGTTCCTAATCAGTCTATCTCTAGTCTTGAAAATGCCACTGCGTCAAATGAAAATATTGCTAGAGATGAGAGGAATGAGAGGGACAAGAGAGCCCGAACAGAAAGTACACATGAATGGGATATTATTAGTGATCCATTTTTACGAAAACCAATTAATGAATATGCGCCGGGGATTAGGGATGATGTGATGAGAGCATATGTTGTTAAAGGTGCTTGTCAACCAGCATCTCATAAGTTTCCACGAACTGAATTTGGCAAGACATTCAGGAGCTTTCGAGGAGAGTGATTTAAAACTTGGGAATGGTTGGAATATAGTATTTCTAAAGATGCCGCTTTCTGTTTTTGGTGTTACCTTTTTCATGGGCATGAAGGAAAGAGATTTGGTGATGATGTGTTTGTGAGGACCGGATTCCGTAATTGGAAGAAAGCTCCTGAAAAATTTAGAGATCATGTTGGTATTGTAGAGAGTGTGCACAATGATGCTAGAACACAATTTTTTGCTTTCAAAAATCAAAAACAAAGTATTTCAAGAAGTCTCTCTTCAGGAACACAACTGTTGGACACGAACTTTAAAATTTTTAGTCTTTGGTTTGCCCCTCCTTGGACAAACCTCTGGCTCCGCCACTGTATATATATATATATATATATATATATATATATATATATATATATATATATATATATATATATATATATATATATATATATATATATATATATATATATATATTCAAATAAGACACCTACCAAAACTCCACATTTTTTATGGAGTATAACTTACTACGTATATAGTTGTACAGTCTCGCGGTATAAGTCATCCAGGCCGAATATAAAGAGCAAAGGAACATACAATACTACTATTCCGACTGAGAATGCATGAACTTTAAATTGGTTTTTTTTGCAATATTGGATTCATTAATTAGGAGTGCAATTCTTTAATAAAAATTAGCAACTTTGTGATACATGAAATTATGATTAGTTTTGTGTAAATAGTAACTTCAAAACTCTAAATTTATTCAAAGATCTTCTATCTCCTATATCAACCAAAACGACCTCTCGTGTCGCACTCTTCCCATGACTTAGCCATCGATCACGGTTAGAAGTTTTTCCCTGAAAACGTTTTCAAAAATTCCAGTAGATTGTGCAATTGACATTGTTGTTTTCAAGTGAAAAAATGATCTCAGAAAAAAAGGATGACACCCCATCTCTGAAGGCCCCAACCTCAATCGGACGATAAGTTGTCATTGTCATATTAAGGTGTCATATTTCATGGACTAAAAGACATTTAAAGTTTTGAATCATATAAATAAGGTGAATGAAACAATCTCCACAGGGGTCAATTTATAGGAATCTTGTTTAGGTCAAAAGGTTGGATACTCCACCAGGTAATGTATTGTCCGCACATTCCGATTACGTTTCCCACTGCATAATAGAATATCCTACAACTTCATGCAAAAGGAATTTGTTACAAAACAATGAAAATGGCTCAAAATAGGATTAAACACATAAGTACGTAAGTTTCCTAAATTACAATAAGATAAATATATTCTTTATTGCTACGTATAAGTGAATGAGTCCAATATTGAAAACAGAATTGAAACAATTACAAATTTTTAATCTTACATAGAAAATTCTCTCTTTTAATAAATCAACTTTTTCCGGTATAGGAACATACTTCGTATATAAGTTGGATTATTGCCAAGAAACTAAAAAAAATGGATAACGTAAGTAAAAAAGTAGAAAATTATACTCCGTATATGAGTATAACAGAAAAAGAATTACAAAAAAAACATTCGTTTTCTTTTACATAAAAAGCAAGGGGCGTGTTCCTTTAATATTACCGTACTAAAGTCAAATTTCAAAAGTGACTATTTAAATATACACTAGTGTAACACTCGGGCCATGCCCTGGTAAGGTTAATTTGATGTGCATGGTTCAGGTGACAAATATTTTGGCTTTGATCAATTTCTTTTACTCCCTGCGTCGCTTTATATTTAACGAAACACTATTTTTTATTCAACTGTGTTAAACTTTGATCGATTATATATTTATACACGGTAATAATGATAATATGGAAATGATACAAATATATTAGTTAAAAAAATGGATCAAAATTTATCATCTTTGACTGAAAAAGTCAAATATGACTAAATAAGGAGGGACGAATGTAGTATGAACTAACCACCACAATGGAATACGGGTGTGGAATCACCATCTTTTCAAGTATGATTTTTTTGTTATATTGTGATTTATGTGCTTAATACACACAAAGTATTAATACGGGTGTGAAATCACCATGCTCAAAGTACTATAGCATAAAGTATGAAATAAATAGAAGTAAAATACACACCGAATGCATCATGTATAATAGAGTATATGAATTATATCAACCCACGACTTGAAAGATATATGTACTATTAATTCATCTGAAAAAGGGAATGTGTCAGTAAAGGGCCTCCATGGCTGAAAAGTATCAAACTAATAACTAAATTATCATGAATTTTATTATTTTTTATATACTTTAAAAGTTTAAAATATTATTTATTTTTATAATTCTATTAAAGTAATAAACATTTGTGAAGAAAAAATCAACAAAAATTAGCAATGGAATTAATAAAATAAATAAGTAAATAAAAACCTATGAAATGTTAGCTCCTCGATTAGTCTTAGTATGCAATCATTCAGACGACCCTATACCAACACAATTCATCTTTTAGGTCCTGAATTAATAGTTTATCTATCTTTCAAGTCTTATATTGATAAAAAAAATCATATGAATATAAATGATAAGAGTATAACTGTTTGGATATAAATCATTCCAAAATTGACTGAAATACATTTGTCAATTTTTATGACATACATTTGTGTCTCTGTCATGACCATTTACATTTTTATCCATATTCTCAACATTATTTGAGGGAGAAGATTTTGCGTTTACGTATCGATACAAGTAACTTTATAACGAAGTTCTCTCTTTGTTCTTTCTTTTGTATTGCATGTATCATGTTTCTCCGTCATCACAAAACCTTCAATTTGACACAAAATAATAAATAAATAAATAAATAAATAAATGATTCACAAATAAAAATTTAATTCCCCACGTATAAGTATTCAATATTAAACGAATTGAAACTCACAATTGCATCTAAAAACATTATAACCAATCTATGTTTAATACATTCACAAAAAATATAATCAATCAATTTTTTACACACATACTATAAACATGAGTAAATTAATAAATTAAATAATTGATATTGGACAAAATCAAACTGTTGGACCAACGCTCGAGATCACCTAAATCCCTAAAGACAGTAAAGTGTGAAATCTTTATTCGGTGATTCCTAATAGAAGAAGATCGAGTAGAATAATAAATGATGCAGGTATCGTTGATTTACTGATAGGTATTTAGGAATTGAAATTTACTTAACAGGGCTGGTTGTAATCACAATTTTAATTAATTATACATATATAATGTTAGAAGATTTATTTTAAAAATCGGAGGCCCCTAAAATGTTGGGGCCTAGACAAGTGTCTAGGTTAACTGCCCTCATGGTCGGGCCCGATAAAATTTGACGAAAATGAAAATAAAATTGAAAAGACATAGTGATGAAACAGTTAGCAACACAAGAGGGGGGTGAATTGTGTTTGTGTGGAACTGTGGCAGTTTCTCGCACAGTTCTAGTTTGGGTGTGGGGAAATGTGAAATAATAAGTACACAAGGATTTAACGAGAAAAAATCCCTTGGCTCATAGGGATTAAAAAACCTCGACCTCCCTTGGAGGAATTTGAAAAAGTTAACTAAATAGCCAAAATATGCTTACAAGGTAAGA